CTGCAGCAAGGATACTTTTTCAAAATTCTGGCAGCCATCACTTGAGTTCACTTCCATTGTTTCAAAGCTAACAGATAATGATGATTTTTCAGCTTCAGAACAAAGTAAGGCCTTTGGTACTCTTCAGCAGAACAGAAATTCCATCTCCATTGCAGAGGCCACTGGTTCCAGTAGCTGCCATGATCCCATTCAGCATTCATGGAGCCTTGTTTCATATATGGATAAAAAGAGTACAGCAGAAAAGTTGGGTAAAGAACTTGGCTTACAAGCTAAGGAGCTGAGTGCAGTTCACAGCAGTCATCATGAAATTGGAGTTAATGACTCTAATTTATTCTCTTTGGAAATGCGAGAGCCCCTTGAGTCAAGTAATACAAAATCCTTCCACAGTGCAGTGGAAATTAAAAATAGGTCCCAGCATGAGCCACCATGTTTCCAGCATCATGGTATAGATACCCCCACTAGCCTTCAAAAGAGGTCTACATGTTGTCCACCTTCGTTAGTCAGACTTGAAGTGACAGCCAGCAATTCCCAGGATGGCGACCCTCAAATTTGGGATGATCTGCCATTCTCTGAAAGCTTGAACAAGTTTCTGGCGGTTCTTGAAAGTGAGATTGCTATAACCCAGGCAGATGTCAGTAGTAGGAAGCATCATGTAGATAACGACATTGATACATTTCATGCAGACCACAGCAGGTTATCTGTGACTCCCCAGAGAACTACTGGAGCCCTGCATACACCACCTATAGCTTTAAGATCATCACAAGCAATAGTCAAAGCAAACTGTAGCAAAGATGACTTCCTTTTCAACTGTAAAGTAAATCTAAGTCCTAGTGTTGAAAAGGAGTCACAACCAGATAACAAAGTAGAGGCTGTCTCTGTAAATCATAGTGGAAGAGGTATGTCAGAGTATTTTCTACCAAATCCTTACCTGTCAGCTCTGTTTTCATCTTCAAAAGATTCAGAAACAATAGTTACTCTTAAGAAGACTATCAGAATCTCACCACCCAGGGATGAAATTCTGTTTAGGCCCAGTACTTCAGAGAGTGACCATTTTAGTCTAAATAACAAATATTTGAATGGATGTGGAGAAAAATCACTTTCAGTAATGAATGAAAAGTTGACAACTCTATGTTCTAGGAAGTACAATGATGTCTCTGATCTTTGCAAATTAGAAAATAAACAATATTATAGGTGGTCCAAGAACCAAGATGACAGTTTTACAATTTGCAGGAAACTTACATATCCTTTAGAAACTCTTTGCAATAGTCCAAATAGAAGTACAAATACATTGAAAGAAATGCCTTGGGGGCATATCAATAACAACTTAACGCAGAGCTATTCTATTGGTTATGAAGGTAGCTATGATGCCTCTGCTGATCTCTTTGATGATATTGCTAAAGAAATGGACATTGCAACAGAGATTACCAAAAAATCACAGGAAATTTTGTTACAACAGGGAACGTCTTTGGCAGAAAGTCATCCTTCGGAGTCTGATTTTTCACTGAGATCACTTTCTGAAGACTTCATCCAGCCTTCACAAAAATTATCCTCGCAAAGCATTTCTGCCTCTAGGCGTTCAAGAACATGCTCTCCAACACCTCAATTTCAATCAGATTCAGAATATAATGTTGAAAATAGTCAAGACTTTGTTCCATGTTCACAGTCAACTCCAATTTCAGGATTCCACCAAACAAGAATTCATGGGATAAACAGAGCTTTTAAAAAACCTGTATGTTATTCAGATCTTGATGCTAACTGTGAAAAAATAAGGATTTTCCCGGAAAATGACAAACAGCAAGCCAGCCCAAGCTGTCCAAAAAATATAAAAACACCTAGCCAGAAAATCAGAAGCCCTATTGTATCTGGTATTTCACAACCAGAAGTTTTCAATCCCTCTCCTTTTGCTGAGTGCCATGAAACTGATAGTGATGAATGGGTCCCTCCTACCACACAAAAAATATTTCCTTCAGATATGCTTGGATTCCAAGTCATAGGTCTAGGGAAATGCCTTGCTGCCCATCATTTCCCTGATCAAGAGTTACCAAGAAAGAAACTGAAACATATTAGACAAGGAACCAATAAAGGTTTAATTAAGAAGAAATTAAAGAATACGCTTTCAGCAGTTGTTATGAAAGAGAAAACTCCTAAATATAACTGTAAAAGTTCAGGCTGGATTTCCAAATGTCCAGACATTCAAGTCTTAGCAGCACCTCAGCTGCACCCTATTCTTGGACCTGATTCTTGTTTAGAATGTTGCCTTCCATTTTCAGAAAAAGGCCCACCTTCAGTGTGTGATACTCAAAGTGCTTGGTCACCTGAATTGTTTTAACAAAAAGTCACCTGAACCCAATTCCTGAACTTTTAAATCTGTTTGGAAATGTTTGCCTTCAGGGGTATGGAAAGCATTCCTTACATTTTGAACACTTGGAGAGAAGCAAATTGAAAAAGAGGACTGTGCTGGGTGCTACTGTGCCTTTTAAAATATAAAGCCATTGTTTTCCCCAGGTTTTATCTAGAATACTATGATTAGGTAATTGAGCACTTTATCTTATACTGTTTATTTTACTTTAATAATATTGTTAAGATTGTTTTTGAAAGTATTAATATTTGTTAAAATCACCTATACATCCAGAAATAAAGCCTTTGCAAACCAAAACTTAATCTTTTTTAATTGTTCAGCTCAGACCAGAAAATGCCTGTTATATTATAGGCCAATAAGTGTGCTGAGTTTGGGATAGAAAGCTACAAGATCACTGATCTCAAAATATTTTAGTCTGCTGGAGAAGACAGACAGATAAACAGGTAACTTCATACAGTGCAGAAAATGCAATGATATGGGTTTTTAATGGGCATGACAAACATTTATGTTGCTGTGGGAGCATGGAAGAAAAGCAGCTAACCCATCAGTGAGCTGAGGGTAAGAAGAAACGTTAAAAAAAAAAAAAAAAAAAAAAAAAAAAAACGATTTACAAGTTATGTGTGAAACTGTTGCTATTTTATTTAATACGTATACACTGAATGCCTACTCTACATGCCAAGGGCTGTGCTTAGTGCTGGAAACTGAAGATAAAAATCAAGCTCCTTCCCTCAAACTCATGATCTATTGGAGTAATCAGGCAATTAGAATCTGGTGGGTTCTATGATAGGCGCTAAGCTTGGGATGCTAATAGGAACAAAAATGAGAAGCAATTTTCAGACACTCAAGTCTTAGCAGCAGCTCTGCTGCACCCTGTGAAATCTTTCGCATATCCCTGGTCAGCTTCCTTTGCCATTCCCCACAGCAACCATTCCAAAACAATACTTTCTTCATGCCACAAAGCAACTGCTACTCTCCTTGCCTCCTATCTCTTGAAGAATATTGAGATCACTTGATATTTTCTCAAATTCCCACACCCATACCTACCCACCTGACTACCTGTACTCCTCTAGTCTCAGAAAATGATACACACCATCTAAGTGCTAATCTTTCCATTTAGACTATTGATCTATTACACCCATCTTTGAAGTCTTATACCAAATATTCCCCCTATATTTTTACCTGTCTTCCCCTCTCTCCAATTTTTTATTTTGAAAATTTGCAAACAGAAAAGTTGAAAGCAGCCAGACGTGGTGTCTCACGCCTGTAATCCCAACACTTTGGGAGGCCGAGGTGGGCAAATTACCTAAGGTCAGTAGTTCAAGACCAACCTGGCCAACATGGTGAAATTCTGTCTCTACTAAAAATACAAAAATTAGCCAGGCATGGTGGTGCATGCCTGTAATCCCAGCTACCCAGGAAGCTGAGACACGAGAATCACTTGAACCCTGGAGGCGGAAGTTGCAGTGAGTCAAGATTGCGCCACTCCACTCCAGCCTGGACGACAGATCAAGGCTCTGTCTCAAGAAAAAAAAAAAAAAAGTTGAAAGAATAGCACAATGATACGGTATCTGTACATACCATTTAGATTCAGTCATTTTAAAGATTTTGCCGTGTGTGTGTGTGTTTGGTTTCTGTGTGTCTATATAGATACAGTTTTGCTTTGCTAAACCATTTTAAAAGCTGCAGACAGGACATTTCACCCCTAAATTCTTCAGTGTAAATTTTCTTAAAAGCTTCTTTCTACATAGCCACAGTATCATCACACCAAGGAAAAATAACAGTAATTCCCCAATATCATCTAATATTCAGCCCATAATCAAATTTTTCTACTTGTCCCCAAATTATAATTGTTATTTAACCAGAATTTCATCATGGTTCATCCACAGTGTTTGCTTGTCTCTTTTTCTAGAACCTCACCTCTTATTTCACATAATAGTAACTTTTTGAGAAAAAAAATCAAACCAGTGTTCTGTAGAATGTCCCACATTCTTGACTGGTATGTTTGCTTCCTTATACTATCAGTACTTTGTTCCTCTACCCCACCCCAGTCCCCACATTTCCTGAAAATTAGGCCTAAAGACTAGATGCGATTCAGGTTTTGGCAGGGATATTTCATGGCTCATGTTGTGCACTTTATGTTGTAACACGAGGAGACACAATATCAAGTTATTCCACTACTAGTAATGCTAAGTTAGATTGCTTGGTTAACATGTTGCCCACCAGATCTCGAAATTAGCCAGGCATGGTGGTGCATGCCTGTAATCCCAGCACTTTGGGAGGCCAAAGCAGGAGGCTTGCTTGAGTCTAGGAATTCAAGACCAGCCTGGACAACACGGCAAAATCTCACCTCTACAAAAAATTAGCCAGGTGTACTGGCACACGCCTGTAGTCCCAGCTACTCAGTAGGCTGAGGCAAAGAATCGCTTGAACCCGGGAAGCGGAGGCTGCAGTGAGCCAAGATCGCGCCACTGCACTCCAGCCTGGGTGACAGAATGAAACCCTGTCTCTACAAAAAATACAAAAATTAGCCAGGTGTACTGGCACACGCCTGTAGTCCCAGCTACTTGGGAGGCTAAGGTGCACCCAAGAGGTGCAGCTTGCAGTGAACTGAGATTGTGCCACTGCATTCCAACCTGGGTGACCCTGTCTCAAAAAAACTGGTGCATATTTATTGTCCAACCAGTTCATACAAAGATTCTTAATTCTTTCTAGACTGTTCCCTAGTCTTTGGGACTAGGAAATAGTCTGTGTTCTTTTTGTCAGATGTGCTATTCCTGGCTAATTTCATATCTCCCTCTGTGATAAAAGAGTAACGATGCTGTTAGGATTTACAATGTCATGACTTCAGAAACTGTTTTGTGTTGAGCTGTATAGATCTTGCCTCAGCAGTTCCCTAATGTCATTTGTTTAATGCTACTTCCTCCTTTATGATGCAGCATTCATTGTGCTACTGTGAATACTGGTTTCCAATGATCTCTCAAAGGTTGTTACCGTACTTCACTGGCGATTACCGAAAAGCAAGCAAATCCTACCCAGAGTGTACAGGAAAATAAATAACAATCCATTTTTTGGTCCTATTTACCATTTGGACTAAATATTGCTTTCCAACCATGCAGTCTTTTGAACATTTTAGGCTGCAGTTACTGCATTCCTATACTGTGATCTCTTTCAATGTTGGCTGCACCCTGGAAGGATAGGCAAGAGCCTATCCTTGCTCCGTGGTTGGAGCAAGAAGAGCGGTTCCATTTGTGCAAAGAATGTCTATTCCTCCATCAGTATGGCTTAACGCCTAATCTGGAAAGCACAGTGTAACTATCAATTGGAAATGAGAGGACATTGATTGGAATTGCCCACTGGCATTGGGGACCAACAGTCTTAAAGGCCTCAGAGGAGATAGGCATGGCCTGCAGAAGTGGGAAGGGTAACCTTCCTGGTGTCAGGGGCTGGAGACAGGCAGGGTAAATAACAGCTGCCACTACCCTCGCAGACCAGGGAGACCCACTGCATAGGCCTACACACACAACTCAGTCCCGAGGACCAGTGGTGACCTTTGGTAGCCACAACCCTGAACTTGTGAGAGTCACCTAAATGAGTATGAGAGTCACCTAAAAATATGTCAGCACCATTCTGGCAACCCAATCTTGTACTATCTTATGAAAGCACTATTGCCTCAGCCAACGGGAATGACCCATTCTCTTAAGACCCAGGTTTGATTTCATAGGCGCAAGTCCCAAGCTCCTCAGGACATTTGGTACACACCAAACACGATGTAGAGGGTTGGTTAAATGGCACTGTCACAAGCACAAAAGTGAGACTTAGAAAATTTCAAGGGAGGCACTTCTGGCAACTAGCTCCCACATGGGACCAGGTCCAGGCTCAGGGTGCACCTCTACCAGGCGCTAAAGCATTTAGAAGGAACCTTGAGGGAGGCATTCCAAAGCCTTAGTCTCCCTGAAGCGTAGGGGCTGTGACAGGATCCCCACTCACCCAGGCCTCAGAGGTACTTTCTTATCATCCCTCCTTATTGTCCTTTTGTGCCTCCTTATTTGCCTGTTTTAAAAAAATAGTGCCTCTTTTTTTTTAGGCAGGATCTCACTCTGTTACCCAGGCTGGAGTGCAGTGGTGCGGTCCTGGCTTACTGCAACCTCCACCTCCCCGGCTCAAGCAATCCTCCCACCTCAGCCTCTTGAGTAGCTGGGACTACAAGCGTGCACCACCATACCCAACTAATTTTTTTTAATTATTTGTAGAGACAGAGTCTCACTGTATTGCCCAGGCTGGTCTCAAACTCCTGAGCTCAAGTGATCTGCCCGCCTCGGCCACCCAAAGTGCTGAGATTACAGGCATGGGCCACCGCTCCTGGCCAATTTTAAAAATATTTTGTTGGAGCCAGGGTCTCCCTATGTTGTCCAGGCTGCTCTCGAACTCCTGGGCTCAAGTAAGCCTCCCACCGCAACCTCCCAACATGCCAGGATTAGAGGGCTGAGCTGCCATGCCCAGTCCAATGATGGTGCCTCTTATAGAGTGAATGGATAGAGAAACAAGGGCTAACTACAGGAAACCCACTTCACCTATAAAGACATATGTAGATTAAAAGTGAATGGGTGGAAAAAGATATTCCATGCAACTGAAAGCCAAAAAAAGAACAAGAGTAGCTGTATTTACATAAGATAAAATTGAATACAAATCAAGGAATGTGAAA